ATGTGAGTGTTTATACCGATATTGGCTTTATGGCACATTATATTTTACCAAATTTCTGAATTCTTTCTACACAGGAAAGGTGAGAATGACCCTTTTCCCTTTTGATAGGACTTGATCACTCAGTAATCAGCTTCTTTTCTTCTAATTGTGTGTCTGTTACCCTGCAAATTCCTTTCACTTCCCCCTCTCTTGCTGTTTTTCACTTTGCTGTGCCTGGTTCCTGTGATCAAAGACCTGAGAGAGAATGTTTTGCATTGTCTAACTTTATCCCAACCACATAGTTGGTCCAATACAAGATATCACCCAAAGAAGTCTTGCCTCTTTTTATACAGAAGCAGATATGGAAATCAATTTATTACATAGTTGAAATTTAACATGCACTTTAACTTACTCTTCTCCTAAACCACAGCAGTTGTGACTATATTAAATATTCCAATCTTAGGAAAATCTTTAATTAGCTATGTTTAGAAAAGCAAGCCAACTAAAAATGTTCCTAAAAATCACTGCCTTGCTTTCTCCCCTCAAAAATGGAATTTTGTTTTCAGTGTTACATAGGATGGAAATATTCTTTCAGTTTTCAGTAAAGCATGTCAAAATAGGAAAGGGTGATCATCAGGGATCCTGGTTTTCTCTGTTAAAAATCCAAAATTCTATGCTAAAATAATCCAAAATTCTCTGACCCCTGGGCCAGGATGGTGCCCCTCATTCCCAACCTGCAGCCTCCTGGTGCTGCTAGTGCCCTGCACTCTCAACTCAGTCCCCTGCCTCCCACCCCGGTGCCCCTTCCTCCCAAGCCACATTCCCCCCCAGCCCTGCTGGTGCCCCTAACTTCTGACCTACAGCCCCCTGCCCCTCTGCCCAGCCCTGTTGGAATGGCCTCAGCTGTCCCTGTCTTGACCAGGCCCGAGTGCGGTGGCTCTGATTCATGTAGGTGGTGACAGAGAGTGTCTGGCCCCGGTGTGGGCTGGAGGGAAGAGGAGGGGAGGTTTGTGGCATCCTCCACCCTGGGACAGGGCTGCCGCACCACAGCAGGCAGCCTGGCCATTACCCCCCTTTCCCCTTCCCCTTCCCCTTGCCCTCCCCTCTAGGCAATATCTCCTGGCCATTCAGCCCATGGGAGCACAGCCACAGAGTTCCCCACTGCCGTCAAAGGGCACCCCCCATCCCTTTCTCCCACTGGAGGGGCAGGCAACCTCTCTGCCCTGTGGCAGTCCCAGCCCCCATCCCCCCTGCCCTGCCCAAATATTCAGGATTTTGCTTTGCTCTGCTGGTGGGAGCAGGGGGAGGGTGATCAGAGGCAGCAGGGAGCAACCACATGGGTCCGCACGAGCCTCCTCTGCTGCCTCCGATCACCCTCCCTCTGCACCCACCAGTGGAGCAAAGCAAAATCCTGGACATTTGGTCAGATTTAAAAATCAGAGAGCTCAGCTCAAGGAGAGGACATGTCCAGGAAAACCCGGACATATGGTAATCCTATTCTAAATACCTATATATTGGCATTTGATTTTGTGTTTTTTTTATCATGGAAAATCAGAGCTCCCACTGTCCCCTTTACTCACCAGGATATGAGTCCAGCTGTGGCTGTCCCCCCACTGCTTTGTGGTGCTGAACAGCCAGACCTGGTATGCTGGTGCACTGCCCATGCTGTTGCCTCTCACTCCCAACCTGCAGCCCCCTGACCCTGCCACTGCCCCCCACTCTTGACCCACAGCCCCTCATTCCCAACCTGCCGGAACTCTGCTAGCCTGCAAGGAGAAACCTGTGGTTCCCTGCATTATTTTAAAAGGAGAAATTCCACATTTTTTTGTGAGAAACGGAAAACCCGGATTCTTGATGAACACTAACTCTGTGGCTTTCTGATAGAAAACACCAAAAGGGACAAAATGGAGACAAGAAATGTTTCACAAATCAAATCACTTTAAACTATTGCCCACCCCTGCAATAATACCATGGCATGGATCCAGCAGACATTGTATTTGTTTGGCTGTGGTGCTCTATACTTCCCAGCTTGCCCTAGCAAGGTGCCGCTTCAGGCTTGGTGATTGCAGGCAGGGGGCATCACATGGGTCTGAGTGGGGGTCTATGTGGGCCCCAGCAGCTGGAGAGAGAGAGAGGGAGAGAGAATTGTCTGCCAGTGTTGGGGTTGTAGCAGAGCAGGGAGGCAGGGGAAAGGTTCTTTGGGGACAGCAGGGAGCTGCATGGGCAGCAGGGCTGGGGGGGGCAGGGGGCTGCAGGTTAGGAGTGAGGGGCAGTGGGGAGGCTGGCAGGGTAGGGGGCTGTGGTTCGGAAGTGAAGGGTATCAGCATGGTCTGGGTGGTGGGGTACTGTGAGTCAGAAGTGAGAGGCAGCAGGAGGGCTGTGGCTTGGGAGTGAGGAGCAGGGGCAGGGCACAGGCATATCATATACCACAGTCATATACCCCCCCGCCCCATAGGTGTCCTCTTTTTCAAAACTGGAAATATGGTACCCTCCAATCACTACTGTTCACACCAGTGCACAACAGAGGATCTGCAGTTGATCTCTGATGGAGGAAAATAAAAATACTGACTGCTAATTTAAAAAAAATATTAAAAATGGACTTTAATTGCCAGCGAGTTTCTAGTTTTTCTGGAAGGGATGCTGGTAGTAATAGATTTGCATGTGGACTAGCTCTTCTCTTTTCCTTTCAGTTGTTGCTGCTCCATTTACTGCTAGGAAAGCCTGAAAACCTCAGGAATCCCTTGAGCAGGCACCTGCTACATATGTTGCTTCCACTTTTGAGTCCTGTGTCTTGTGTCCTCACTTCAAAACCCAAAGAGTTAATATTATTACTCACATAGTACATACACCCTTTCTGGGAGAATCAACCCCCCACCCCCGCCAGTTGAAGTCTATGTCTTAAGGAGGGAAACAGATTTTCTTTGCTGAAACAGGAGCAGGAAGACATTCATGTTGCAAAATGGCTACCAGCTTCTCTCTCAGCAAGCAGGAAAAAGGGACAGAGACCAGTGTAAGCCCTTTCCCAGGCCTCAGCTTGCTGGCTGAGAGAAAAGCTGACAGCCATTTTGCAACACAGCCCCTCCATGAAAAAGTCATCCGCTGGCCATAACTCTGGAAAAAAAATGTTTCCCACCCCCATATTCTGCTTCCCAAAAACAAGATATGTGTCTTATCTGTGGGCATGTGGTATGTGTGAAAGTACAGTATTAGCATCTCCTAAAAGATGCTAATACTGTAGTCCTTGAACCCAGAGAAAAGGAAGCCATCCCATGCATTATTCAGAGGAGTTATGCTCAAGTCCTAATCAGCATTTCATTTTTGGTATTTTATAATATGCTATGGCCAGGCACAGGAACGCTCCCACTAGAGAGCTTCCATCATGCGATAGCTGTTATTTTTTCCTCCCTGATGGATTATGGTCTATCCTAAAAGGGCCATGACTAATACATTTTAAACACCACTTTGCTCACACTAAGTGGAGTTTAAAACTGTGTTAACGAACATGACTATTAAATGGACCTCACTTTGTGACTAGACAGGACCCAGGTGCTAGGACAAGGTCACTGACTGACCGTCCTGTTTTCAGAAGTCCTGACATCCTACTGCTGTCATTACCACATGAAGTGTTACAGGTACTCAAGCGTTACATGTACCGTGATAGTAGAGCTGCGATTCCTTTTATGATTGTTATGATTATGTGCATCACCAGCCTCTATTGTGGCTCAAGACAGGCGGTGGGAGAAAATATTTGGGAGAGGCTGAGTGAGGAGTGTGTGGCAGGGGCACTGGGCTGTGGTGTGGTGGTAGGGGAGCTGGAGCAGTGGTGCATGTGGTGTGCTGGCCCAGCTGCACGCCGAGCAGTGCCGGGTGCTGCGGGATGGTGGCCCCACAGTGCTGCTGTTGCCAGCTGCTGTGAAATTAGTTTGGGGCATTTGCGATGCGTAGGGGGTGCATATGCACCTCAAGATTGATGTTGCACCCCCTGCAAAAAGTGCCGCCAATGCTGCCAGTGGTTGCCGCTCACCACCCCCCCACCAGCAGCATGTGCGGGTGGTCCCTGATGGTTGCTTGCCGCCACTGCCGGTGTCTGTGGGTGGTCAGTGCTTGACACCCCTCCCACCGCTGACACCACTGTGGCCCCTGCAGGAGCTCTCCACCACCATGCCCTTGCTACCAGCAGTACCTGCAGGCAGTTGCTGGGCCACCCCAAGCTCCAGAGGCACGGGGTGTGCATGTTTTGGGGGGCTATATCCCATCAGCCTTCCGCCACCCATACCTGCAAAGCTTTTCCAAATGAGTTGCAAATTCTGCCACACAAATCAAGTAAAAGGACGCGGGCCCAGGGCATCTTTACTTGTGGATGCCCCTCATTAGCTGGGCTTGAACTGGGTAAAATAGGCCACTCTACATTTGTATGGAACGGCTTGGACTGGCATAATCCTGCCTGGGGAGGGGCTTCCAGCTCCACTCTATGATGCTGCGTATTTTTTCTCGGGGGTCGATGCCCCAGGGCGGTTGTGTCAGCGCCACGAGCGGCAGTCGAGGCTGCAACATGGCGGAGGCGCGGTACCGGGTCGCTCCCAGCCCGGCGCGAAATCCCGGCCCAGCCCCGGCCTCACTCTGTCCGCTGGACAGCGGGCCAGGCCGGCGGGGCGGGGCAAGGAGGAGCC